ATGTGTAGAGAGAGACGCAAAGATGCAGAGAGAGATGCACAGAGAGGCAGAGGCACAGAGACACGTGCACAGAGAGAGACGTGGGCAGAGAGAGTCACAGAGAGTCACATAGAGATGCAGACACACACACACACACACACACACATGCAGAGAGACACCCAAAGAGAGATGCATGCAGAGAGAAACAGAGAGATGCAGAGACAGAGATGCAGAGAGACATAGACACACAGAGACGTAGAGAAGGACACACAGACGCAGAGAGATTTAGAGAGATGCAGAGAGAAAGACACAGAGAGAGATGTGCACAGAGAGAGACGTACATAGAGATGCAGAGAGACAGAGAGAGACACACGCAGAGAGAGAGATGTGCGCAATGAGAGACACACACAGAGACACATGCGGAGAGAGATGCAGAGGGAGACATGCAGAGAGATGCAGAGAGACAGAGCAACGCAGAGAGAGACACACACAGAGACATGCAAAGAGATGCAGAGAGAGAGACATAGAGAAAGAGAGATATGCTCAGAGAGACAGAAAGACACACAGAGACAGAGAGACGTGCACGCAGAGAGAGGTGCACAGAGATAGAGAGGCGAGCAGAGAGACATTTGCAGCGACACGCAGTGAGATGCAGAGAGAGACAGAGATGCACAGAGAGAGACACAGAAGCAGAGAGAGACTCAGAGATGCAGAGAAAGAGAGATGCAGAGAATAAGGGAGAGACACACAGAGAGAGACACAGAGATGCAGAGAGAGGCACGCAGAAAGGTGCGCAGAGAGAGAGAGACACACACAGAGAGAGTGAGACGTGAGAGAGTCACAGAGAGATATGCATGCAGAGAGAGAGGTATGCAGGGACACATGCTCGCAGAGAGAGAGACACATGCAGAGAGAGACATAGAGATGTAGAGAGACAGAGATGCACAAAGAGAGACACACAGAGAGAGACACATGCAGAGAGATGCTAAGCAATGCAGAGTAGATGCAGAGAAGAAGCAGAGAGCCACAGAAAGATGCACAGAGAGAGATGCAGAGAGATGCAAGAGAGAGACACAGAGTGATGTAGAGACATAGAGAGAGACTTGGAGATGCAGGGAGAGAGAGACACAGAGACAGAGAGACACAGAAAGATGAATAGAGAGACGCAGAGAGAGATGCAGAGAGACACAAGAGAGGGATACAGAGAGATGCAGAGAGGGATATGCAGAGAGAGGTAGATGCAGAGAGACACAGAGAGAGAGAGACAGAGAGACACAGAGAGATGCAGAGAGACAGAGATGCAGAGAGAGACACAGAAATGCCAAGAGAGAGAATGCAGAGAGGCAGAGAGGCAGAGATGAAGAGAGATGCAGAGAGAGAGACACAAAGAGAGATGCAAAGACAGTGAGAGATGCACACAGAGAGAGACACAGAGAGAAAGACTCAGAAACGCAGAGAGTTAGACACAGAGACAGACACAGAGAATGAGGGAAAGACACAGAGATATGCAGAGGAGCGCAGAGAGACACAGAGACACAGAGAAAGAGAGATGCAGAGAGAGACAGAGACACATAGAGATGCAGAGAGACACAGACGCAGAGAGACACAGAAAGATGAACGCAGAGAGAGACATGTGCAGAGAGACGCTGAACAACGTAGAGAGAGATTCAGGGAGAGATGCAGAGAGAAATAGAGTCACGCTCAGAGAGATGTAGAGAGACACAGACAGGAGAGAGAAATGCAGAGAGACAGAGACACAGAGAGACACGCAAAGAGAGATGCAGAGAGACTCAGAGATGCAGAGAGATGCAGGGAGACAGAGCTAAAGAGAAACAGAGAAACACATAGAGATGTAGAGAGAAACAGAGATACAGAGAGACAGTGAGAGAGAGGCAGAAAGACAGAGAGAGTCACCTGCAGAGAGACGCAGGGAGATGCAGAGAGAGACATGCACAGAGAGAGACGTGTGCAGAGAGAGACAGATGCAGAGAGACAGAGAGGGACACAGACACAGAGAGAGATGTGCAGAGAGAGAGAAACACATGCAGAGAGACACTGTGCAACACAGAGAGAGACGCAGAGAGTCAGAGAGATACAGAGAGATATGCAGAGAGTGAGGGAGAGATGCAGAGAGAGACACACACAGAGATGATAGAGACAGATGCAGAGAGATTATAGAGACATATGGAGAGAGAGACACGCTCAGAGAAAGATATGGAGAGAGAGAGACACGCTCAGAGAAAGATGTGCATAGAGAGAGATGCAGAGAGAGAGAGATGCAGAGACGTAAGAAATGCAGAGATACAGAGAGACACACACAGAGAGAAGCAGAGACACAGATGCAGAGAGATGCAGAGAAACAGATAGATACAGAGAGAGACACAAAGAGATGCAGAGAGACACAGAGAGACAGAGAGATGCAGAGAGACACAGAGAAACACTCAGAGATGCAGAGAGAGATAAAGAGAGAAGCAAAGAGATGCAGAGAGACTTAGAGATGCAGAGAGAGACAGAGATGCAGAAAGAGAGAGACACAGAGAAAAAGAGAAGCAGAGAAACACATAGGGATGTAGAGAGAGACAGAGATGCAGAGAGACATAGAGAGAGACACAGAGAGAAATGCAGAAAGACAGTGAGAGAGAGGCAGAGAGATGGAGAGAGTCACACTCAGAGAGATGCAGAGAGAGATGCGCACACACAGAGAGAAACGTGTGCAGAGAGACAGAGGCAGAGAAACGCAGAGAGGCACAAAGAGAGACATGCAGAGAGAGACACACATGCGTAGAGAGAGACAGATGTAGAGACACATGCAGAGAGAGACGCACGCAGAGAGACAGATGCAGAGAGATACAGACACACAGAGAGACGTGCAGAGAGAGATGCGTGCACACAGAGAGAGAGACATGCACAGAGAAATGCTGAGCAACACAGAGAGTTAGAGATGGAGAGAGAGATGCAGAGAGTGAGGGGGAGATGCAGAGAGACAGAGAGATGCAGAGAGAGACACAGAGATGTGTGCAGAGAAAAACTTGTGTAGAGAGATGCAGAGAGACAGAGAGAGAGACACAGAGAGGCATGCAGAGAGAGACAGCCGCAGAGAGAGGCAGACATACAGAGAGAGACAGAGATGTAGAGAGACAGAGAGAGACACAGAGATGCAGAGAAAGACACGAGAGATGCAAAGACAGAGAGAGATGCACAGAGAGATGCGTGAAGAGAAAGACGTGCGTAGAGAGAGATTCAGAGACACAGAGAGAGATGCAGAGAGAGACAAAGACACAGAGAGACACAGAGAGAGACGTGTGCAGAGAGAGGCGTAGAGAGCCATAGAGAGATGCAGAGAGAGAGACTCAGAGAGATGCAGAGAGACAGAGAGACACAGACAGAAAGAGACACTCAGGGACGTGTGCAGAGAGATGCAGAGACACAGAGACAAAGAGAGACACACAGAGATGCAGAGATACAGAGAGAGATGCAGCGGCACATAGATATAGAGGGATGCAGAGAGACATAGAGACGTAGAGAGATTCAGAGAGAGAGATGCAGAGAGACGCAGAGAGATGCAGAGAGACATAGAGCCACAGAGATGCAGAGAGATTCAGAGAGAGAGTCACAGAGACTCAGAGAGACAGAGAGAGAGATGCAGAGAGAGGGAGACACAGAGAGACACAGAGAGACAGAGATGCAGAGGGAGATGCAAAGAAATGCAGAGAGAGATGAGACGAAGAGAGACCCAGAGAGAGATGTAGAGAGAGGGAGATGCAGAGAGAGAGAAACACAAAGAGTGCAGAGATCCAGAGGGAGATGGAGAGAGAGAGAGACGCAAACAGACGAGTGCAGAGAGATGCAGAGAGACAGACTCAGAGAGAGAGACATAGAGACACAGAGAGAGATGCAGAGAGGGAGAGACAAGAGATGGGGAGAGAGAGAGACATGAAGTGAGAGAGAGACTCGGGGCAGAGAGACAGAGAGATGCAGAGATGTAGAGAGAGACGCAGAGATGTAGAGAGACACAGAGATGCAGAGAGAGATGCAGAAAGACAGAGATGCAGAGAGACACAGAGAGACCTAGAGACACAGAGAGATGCAGAGAGACACTGAGATGTAGAGAGACACAGAGAGACAAACACAGAGAGAGACAGCCACACGCAGAGAGAGCCACATGCAGAGACACTGAACAATGTAGAGAGAGATGCAGAAAGAAAGAGAGTCACATGCAGGGAGATGCAGAGAGGAGAGAGACGCAGAGAGAGAGAAATGCAGAGAGACACACAGCGACATGTAGAGAGAGACACAGAGAGATGCAGAGAAACTCAGAGATGCAGAGACAAAGAGAGAAAAGCAGAGAAACGCATGGGGATGTAGAGAGAGACAGAGATGCAGAGAGACCTAGAGAGAGAGCGAGTCAAACGCAGAGAGATACACAGAGAGACGCAGAGAGACAATGAGAGGAGAGGCAGACAGAAAGAGAGAGTCGCGTGCAGAGAGAGACACTCACAGAGAGACACATCCAGAGAGAGACAGAGAGACACACGGAGAGATGCGTGCAGAGAGAGAGGCACGCAGAGTGATACTGAGCAACACAGAGAGAGATTCAGAGAGATGCAGAGAGTGAGGGAGAGACTCAGAGAGACACAGAGGGAGATTCAGAGAGACAGAGATATGCTGTGAGAGAGACAGAGAGAGAGATGTGCACAGAGAGATGCAGAGAGAGACTCAGAGAGAGAGACACGCCGAGAGAGAGACATAGAGAGATATGCAGAGAGAGACACACAGATGCAGAGACACACAGAGATGCAGAGAGAGATGCAGAGATGCAGCAAGAGAGAGATTCACAAGAGACACAGACAGATGAACAGAGAGTCACAGAGACAGAGACGCATGCACAGAGAGAAATGTGCTCAGAGATAGATGCAGAGAACCACAGAGGGATGCAGAAAGAGACTCAGAGATGCAGAGGCACAAAGAGACACACAGAGAGACTTAGAAACACGTAGAGAGAGAGACATGCAGAGAGATACAGTGAAAGAGAGACACAGAGACACAAAGCGACATAGAGACACAGAGATGCAGAGAGAGACAGAGAGATGCAGAGCGATGTAGAGACACAGACACAGAGAGAGAGACACAGAGATGCAGAGAGATTCAGAGAGAGAGAGAGAGATGCAGAGACAGACGCAGAGAGAGGAAGAACAGAGAAATGCAGAGAGAGACAAAGAGATGCAAAGAGAGACACAGAGATGCAGAGGGACGGTGAGAGACGCACACAGAGAGAGGTGCAGAGAGATGCAGAGAGACACATGGAATGAGGGAGAGACGCAGCGACACACACAGAGATGCAGAAAGACTTAGAGACGCAGAGAAATAGAGAAGCAGAGAGACACGGATAGATGCAGAGAGACATAGAGACACACAGAGTGCAACACAGAGATAAACACACAGAGAGAGCCGCATGCAGAGGCAGAGAGACGCTGAGCAACACAGAGAGATGCAGAGAGACGCAGAGAGAAATGGAGTCGCATGCAGAGAGACACAGAGAGACAGAGACATGCACAGAGAGAAGCAGAGACACAGAGAGATGCAGAAAGAGAGATGAAGAGACACAGACACGCAGAGATGCAGAGAGACAGAGAGATGCAGAGAGAGACAGAAAGAGAGAGATGCAGAGAGACACAGAGAGATCTGGAGAGAGACACAGAGAATCACGCAGAGAGATGCAGAGAGACATACAGAGAGAGATAGATGCAGAGAGACTTAGAGATGCAGAGATGACAGAGATGCAGAAAGAGACAGACAGAGAGAGAGAGACGCAGAAGAATAGAGAAGCAGAGAAACACGTGGGGATATATAGAGAGACAGAGATGTAGAGAGACATAGAGAGAGATGCAGAGAGACAGTGAGAGAGACAGAGAGAGTCACGCTCAGAAAGATGCAGAGAGATCCACGCACACAGAGACGTGAGCAGAGAGAGAGAGACAGATGTAGAAAGACTCAGAGAGAGATGCACACAGAGAGACAGATGCAGAGAGACACAGAGAGACATGCACAGAGAGAGAGAGACGTGCACGGAGAGGCAGATGCAGAGAGTCACAGAGAGACACAGACACAGAGAGACATGCACAGAGAGAGATGTGCACAGAGAGAGACAGATGCAGAGAGACGCAGAGAGACACAGACACATAGACACACAGAGACTTGTACAGAGAGAGACGTGCATAGAGAGATGCTGAGCAACAAAAAGAGAGACACAGAGAGTCAGAGAGATGCAGAGAGAGACGCAGTGAGGGAGAGATGCAGAAAAGAGAGAGAGAGATGCAGAGAGACAGAGAGATGTGCACAGAGAGAGATGCAGAGAGAGACTCAGAGAGAGAGAGACGCCGAGAGAGAGATACAGAGAGACACTCAGAAAGAGACACACAGAGATGCAGAGACACAGAGAGAGATGCAGCAAGAGAGATACGTGCAAGACACAGAGAGATGCACAGAGACACAGAGACACGTGCACAGAGAGGTGTGCTCAGAGATAGACGCAGAGAGCCACAGAGAGACTCAGAGATGCAGAGAGACATAGAGACACGTAGAGAGAGAGGTGCAGTGAGACAGAGAGAGATACACAGAGAGACACAGGGATGCAGAGCAATGTAGAGACACAGAGATGCAGAGAGTGACACAGAGAAACAGAGCAATGCAGAGATGCAGAGATGCATAGAGAGATGCAGAGAGATGCATAAAGAGACACGCAGAGATAAAGAGAGACACAGAGATTCAGAGACAGAGATACACAGGGAGAGAGAGATGCAGAGAGAGGGAGATGTAGAGAGATGCAGAGAGAGAGTCTCGCACAGAAAGATGCAGATGAGTGCAGAGAGAGATACGTGCAGAGACATGTGCCGAGAGAGTGATGTGCGCAGAGAGACTCTAAGCCACATAGAGAGAGAGACAGAGACAGATAGAGAGACGTAGAGAGGGAGAAATGTAGAGACATGTAGAAAGAGAGACATTCAAAGAGAGAGATGAAGTGAGAGAGAGACTCAGAGGGGCAGAGAGACAGAAAGAGGCAGAGATGTAGAGAGAGGTGCAGAAAGAGACTCAGAGAGACAGAGAGATGCAAGAGAGAGACACAGAGAGCCGCAGAGACAGAGAGAGATGCAGAGAAACAGAGAGAGACGTACAGACACAGAGAGAGATGCAGAAAGGGAGAGACATAGAGAAACGTAGAGAGAGAGAGACTCAGAGGGGTGAGAGAGACACAGAGAGCCAGAGAGATGCAAAGATACCTAGGGACACAGAGATGCAGAGAGGGACACAGAGAGATGCAGAAAGAGAGAGGCATGCAGAGATGTAGAGAGATGCAGAGAGAGACACACACACAGAGAGAGACACATAGAGACAGAGAGATGCAGAGAGAGGGAGGGGCAGAGAGACACAGAAAGACACAAAGACAGAGATGCAGAGAAACGCAGAGAGATGCAGAGACGAGTGCAGAGATGCAGAGAGAGACAGACGCAGAGATACACAGAGATGCAGAGAGACAGAGATGTAGAGACACGAGAGAGATACAGAGAGGGAGAGACAGAGACATGTAGACAGAAGCAGAGAGAGACATTCAGTGAGAGAGAGACTTGGGCAGAGCGACAGAGACACAGAGACGGAGAGAGTGACACAGAGATGTAGAGAGAGACAGAGAGAGATGCAGAGAGATGTAGAGACACCTAGACATGGAGAGAGACACAGAGAGATGCAGAGACAGAGACACTCACAGAGAGACGTACAAAGAGAGACAGACAGACACAGAGAGAGATACAGAGACACACAGAGACAGACAGAGAGACATAGAGACAGAGAGGCACACACAGAGAGAGACAGAGTGACATTTTCTGTTTCTTCCTGTGTATTTGAAAGTTGCCCATTGACTAAGGATGACAAAAGAACTGATGTTTTTGAATTGTGGTGTTGGAAAAGAGTACTGGACATTCCATGAACTGTTGAAAGAATGGCAGTTCTCTAAAGATGAAACAAGTCTGTCTTAGAGGAAGTATCATCAGGATGCTCCTTAGAGACAAAAATGGTGAAACTTCATCTCACATATTTTGGGCATGTTGTCAGAAGGGACCAGTCTTTAGAAAAAGACATCATGCTGGGAACTTGGACAGTTGAAGAAAGAAAGGAGGAAAACTCTCAATAGCGGAGTGACATAGCAACTGTGACAATGGGAGATTGCATGTCAGAGACACTGATGATGTACAGGATAGGGCAATGTTTTGATCTGGTGTTCATAGGGTCTCTGTGAGTTATAATCCACTTGATTGTGCATAACAACAATTAATTTTAATTTGCCACCTATGCCATAATATCATCCTCCAAAGGTCATTGCTAAAGTTAAATTGTATGACTTATTAAAATACCTAGCAAAGAGTAAAAATGAATTAATATTTCATCCTCTGCCCTGTATGTAGCATATTATAAAGGCATTATGTGAATTCAGTCAGTACACTGAGGTTACATAGTTGACTTTTAATTTAAATTTAACACCAAAGTTGATCTTATCTTAAAATTGGCCCTCTGGAGAGGAGTAGGAATATTATTTCTTCACAAGAAAATATATCTAATTATACTTATTTCCAGTCTAAGAAAACACAGATAGTCAATTGGTTATATTATAGATTATTATATAGAATTTTATTTGGCTAGTCTGCTTGAATTGTTTCTTGATAGAAAGCATGGAAACTGGCAAGATTCTGTCTTACTACAGTTAGACAGTTCAACATTTTTCAAGATTTTTTTCCTTTGTGCTTTATTCATACTACATCACATCTCTGATCTCTAACCACTGATCTATGTGGCAATCACTTGACTGCTAAGATTCTAAGGAAGATTCTGTCATTGAGTACTAAGAGTGATGAAAGCAAGCAACAATGTCTTCTGAATTCTGGCATAATTACTGCCAATATCTTAGAAAAGAAGATGTTATATTTGGAGCAAGAGTTCATAGATACAAGCAAAGGAAATTAAAAACAAGATCATGACTCAGGTCATGAATCATCTTTGCTAGCACTCTTTTTGAAGAAGTAGATTAAAGCATTCCTCCATGTTAAGAAATAAAATGTAGAATAGGAGCATGACTTTTGTTCATTTTCTTTTCTTCATCTGAAAACCGATAAAAATCATGATGCTAGAAAAAGTAAAACAAGAATTAATTACTATATTATTATTACAGCTCTGTGAACTGGAACAGTCTTAGAGAGCCAAATAATTTAAAGAAGATCATACAGGGAGTAATCTGGTATGCAGACCCAAGTCTGTGTTTAATACTCTATTTATAATGAGCAGATTATTACTCCACATATCCATTTAATTCTAAACCACAATGAAAAAGAGGAGTATAGTTAAAATATAGCTCTTATAAGGACAAATACTGCATATGACAATTACTGTAAAAATAGAAGGATTACTAGTAAAACATGTATTGTAACCCAAGGGGATAAAGGGTGGGAAGAGAGGGGTAAGGATGGGTAGGGGCAAAACAACGTTCCACACTTTGAAGGGTGAAAGGAGGGGGTGAAAGAAACGGGAAGGATCCAGCAGGGACCTGAAAAGATTGGGTAATGATGGGCAAGGTCCAATGATGATTTATTTTTATAAAACATAAATTATAATACATGGGAATGATTGTATTAAACACAATATGAATAGAGAACAGTGTGATACACAATGTATATGAACTTTGTGAGCAAATAAAAAGAAATTATATATGAAAAAAATAGGTGTATTTGTTATGTTGCATAGTACCCCCTGGAAGTAGATCAATCATTGAAAATTAATGTACCAAATACCATTTTGTCTAAACCTAATTTGCCAAATGACTATTTCACCAAATAGACAATTTATAAAATTCACAAAAAATGTGGTTTGTATTCTGAAGAATAATTTATTTTTAATTAATTTACTTAGAAATACACACTGACAATATATTTCCATTTGAGAGTATAATTAAGAATTATATTCCATCTTTCAATGAAACTAGTGAGAGGCAAAACTCAATGAGATTGCCTTGTTTTTCTGGGAATGTAAGTGTACTGCCTTGACAAGGTGCAATCTTATCACTTTACTATTGTTTTCTATTATTGTTGTTGTTATTGTGTGCCATTGACTCAGAACTTATCCTCCAGCAAATTTTCGGAGGCAGTTAATCACACAGGAAGAGATTGCCCATCTTTCTCGCCAGGTGTAGTTGGTGGCCTCAAACCAAGAGCCTTTGGGATTGCCGTGCAGCTTCTTGTCACTAGGCCACCATTAGTGGAACATATTTGATTTTTCTTTTCTGACATAAGCTCTGGGTTTTGCAATTTTTACTATTTAGTAATTATCATCCTTATAAATGAAATCATAAAAAGACTAGGTCTATAATAAGACTATCCTATCCCATAACATAATTTTATTTAAAATATTGCTAAGAAGAATGCTTTTATGGTAACTATTGATTACATTAATTACATATATTCAAGAAGACTATTCCTTAAAATACACTTTAAAAAATTTTGTATTGGCTTAAATAATGAATTATATGTTTCATTCATATACATTGTGTTTCAAACATTCCTCTATTCACATTGTGTTTCATATGATCATTCCCATACATTGTATTTTATACAATTAATCACCATTAATCTATTCCCAGTGTGCTTTTTATAACTTGATAAATTTCAAACTTTTCAAGGTGGCAATGCAAGCTTTAGTGTGGCTACAACTCAGTCATAGTAATCATTCAAACTTTAAAGTGCATATAGATCATTTGTGAATCTTGTTAAAATACACATTCTGAGTTTCAAGATCACATGACAAACAACATGGATTTATAATAAATTGACTTTCTGTGACCTGATATGAAATTAATGGAACTAAAACAATATCCATTACACTGTTTTACTCCTTCAACTGCACTTACCTATTTTTTACACATTTTGTATAATACAGATTTTGCATAGCTATTAATATGACTAATATTTAAAGTGATAAAAAATTAAAGAGGCAAAAGCAAAAATTGGTTCATTATTGTGTAGATAATCGAAACAGTTTGAGGAAAGCATTGATTACCATCTGTTGTCCTGTCTAACCTTGCCTGAGTTCTCAGCATAAAGTATGTCCATAAAAATTATAGTTGTTAGAAACATGCATGCTTGTATAATAATGGAGCTTTAGCAATAAACAGCCCATTTGAAGTACCTGCTTTACTGTAATTAAACACGTCCATGTCATATATTGTTAAATCTAGTAAAGAAGGAAATAAATTATATGAAGAAAATAAATTATACCTTGTAGTACTTTGACCTAAATTATCTAAATAAGTTATTCTTGTTTATAAGGAAGAAATTACATATTAACATTTAAAGCTATCAAAAGTATTTTCTTATGTGGACAAAATAATTTTTTACTTAGAAAAAATTATCTTTTAAATAATTAATGTTGAATAACCAATTAAATATGATTAGTAATATAACTGAGTTCTGGATTTTGTTAAGTGAAGCAGGTCTCAACCTTGGTTACATTTTTTAATCATTTGAGAAGATTTAAAAAAATTATCAGTACTCACCACACTCCCCAGATTGATTAATTCTGAATCACTTGCTACTCAGCATTTTTTTTCAAATTATCAGGGTAGATGCTGTTCACAGTCTCTGAATTTACATAATTGTTCATTATACCTTCTTCCTGAGCATGATATTATATAGGGGCCCAGTGAAAACACAGTTCCAATTCTTCCTATTCTTTTTTGTTATTTGCACACAGGACTTTCTGCTAACGACATAATTCTTGCTTATTAATTAGACTAAGACATAAACTCATTAACTCATGGAAGTCTAGTCAGAATTGACTCATAGCTGACCTCCATTGGGTTTCTGAAGCTATAAGGCACACAGGAGAACATTGTCCATCTTTGTTCTGTGGAGCTTTTGGTGGATTTGAACTGCCTTTGAGTTAGCAGTGTAACTGTGTATGGACTGTGCCACCAGGACTCCCTAGACTAACGCGTGTTGTTGTTCTGTACAGATTCATATTGGTATGTACTGACTCATGTTGTTATAGAATCAACTCACAGGTGCAGTGGGTTTTCAAAGGGAGTAAATAACACAGGAGTAGATTCCCTATATTTCTCCTTTGGAGCAACTGGTGCTTTGAGTTGGTGCTGCAGTTCCTTACCCCTAGGCAACCCAGACAAACACAGACAAATAAATTGGTAATATTTATAAACTTGTTATCTATTTTTTAATAAAGCTGAGACCCTCTGGGGTATAATAATTATTTTCTTCCTGTCTTCTTGGCCTGGGTTAATGTCATTGGACATCAATAAGCAGATAAGCAATGACAACTTGATGGAAACATGCAAATAGTTCCATTCATTTTCATGAAAATTATCTTTATGATTCTACTTAAAAGTAAGTAATCCAAAAAAATTTTAAAAAGTAAGTAATCCAGTATAAAATAAAAATGTTACAAAAATATTAAATGTTGCTACAAGTACAAAAAAATACTAGATTTGAACACATAAGGGATATTTATTCTTTTAAAAATAGCCTACTGAACTTCTGAAAATAAGTTATACCATAATACTAAAAGAAAAAAGTGTGATAAATGAGTGTATGGTATATGGACTTTTAAATGACATAGGGAGCTCTAGTGGCCTAGTGGTAAGAAGCTGCACCGTAATTCCCAAGGCATGTGGTTAGAATCCTCTATAGAATTTCTATAAGAGAATGGTGATTAATCTTCTCCCTTGTGATTAACTGCCTCTGAAAGCCTGCTGGTGGGGGGGATCAGCTGGGGGTCAATTCTGACTCAGTGGTACTCAGCAATAACAATGTGCACCACTGCCTTTTCTCTTTAAAATAAGCATGTCTAGGCGGAACACTGGTTCCCAAAGCAAGTGCTTGTGAGGATATGGGACTGAAATTTCCCTGGGAATAGGTCCCTCCATTTGGGGATCTTTGCCTCTTTAGCTGTGGGGCCATCCCAAGGGCCAAACAGGACAAGACAGTTTGGGGCACAGAGCTACAAGCAGAGTAAAGATTTTCTCAGCTTTCTGGGAGAGGGAGGGCTGACTTGAGACCTCCTGGCCCACAAACTGCTTAAATTTTCAGCCCTGGTCTTATGCCACTCCAGAGACAAAGGAAGACAAGACAACAAACACTTTTGAGTGTTTATGGGGAGATGAGACTGAAACTTCCTTGGGATAGGCCCCTTCATTTGGAAATCCTTACTTCTGTGTCTGTGGGGCCATCCCAAGGGCCAAATAGGACAAGAGAGTTTTGGACACAGAAATACAAGCAGGGGAAAACCTATCTTAGCTTTCTACGAAAGAGAGGGCTGCCTTGACATCCCCCTGCACACAAACTACTTAAGTTGGAGGCCCTTATCTCACTCAAGCCACACCAGAGATAAAGGAAGACATTAAGCTTCAGGAGAGAAAACACAGGAGGTGAGGCACTGCTACCCAAAGTGAGCACTTTGGGGTGCTAGTGCAGACATAGAACTGACACTTCCCTGGGGATAGGTCTCCCCATTTGAAGTTCCTTGCCTCCTTGGCTGCAGGGCCATCCCAGGTGCCAGAAAAGACAAGAGAATTTGGGGACACAGAGCTACAAGCAGGGGAAAGACTTTCTCAACTGGCACCTTAAGCTTCAAGACAGAGCTGACTTGAAACTCTACTAGACAAAAACAGTGGAGTACTAGGTCTCATACCACCTGGCCACACAATAGATGAAGACGAAGAAGGACAATAGAGTTTGGGACAGTAGATGGACACTAAGGCAAAATTCCCATAGGACTGCTGTGTAGAACAGAGAAAACCTGAAGGACTTTAGGAAAGGAAAATTTTCCCAGAAAGGACTTTCAGTAGAGTGAGTGGCTCACCCAATGATTGAACATTTTAACCTGGCAACGAATCAATAATATAATAAAGATACATGTATGGCTAAGCACAACTGATAACAGTGCATCTATATGCCCAAATCAATCTCCACAATAGTCTATGTGTTTCCTATTGCCCTTTAGAGTAGTGAGAGAAGATCTTCACCCTGAAACCTACAGCATCCCTTTTCAGCAGGAAGTAGTTAAGAGAATACGCTGTCCCCTTTTTTCCTTGTGAATCAGGGTGAAATCTCTCTCAGGGAGGAGTGATAGGGAATGGCAAAGGACACACTGACAAAGGAGATTAATCAGAACTGGTTTTGACAAGCACTGTGGCAAAGGGACAATTAAAACAGACTTTCAAGGAATAGTCAACCTGAATCCTTCTGATCATATGGAGATTTTTTTTAGTTTATTATGTTTAATTTGTTTTATTTGTTTGTGTATAAAGGATGCTCATGTAGATGGTAACATAATTATGATAAAAACAAAAGGGGGGAATATGGGAAGCCAATACTAAATATTTGTTATAAACTAAATGCTATTTTTTTAAAAAGAAAGAAAATATCAATATTTAGAAAGAAAATGTGGCAACTAAAGTGTTATTTAAGATAGGAGAAACTTGTCCAACATTTTAGAGAAGAAAAGGCAATAAAAAAGTTAAATACATTAAAAATATAATAAAGATTAAAACTACAAACAACTTATGCAGTCACAATAGAAATGACCTAACAATTATCAAGGAAAAACTTCATATAATGTCGAGAAAGCAAGAGGCTTTTTAAAAAGACTGTGATAAAGCTAATTAAGCCTTCTCAAACAACAACAACAAAACACACACACACACACACACACACACACACACACACACAGAATATTGCAGACCCAATGAATACTCCAAAGCCAAGAAGGTAGATAATATATGTTGATATGGAGATATTCGAACAACTACAAAATAAAGTACAAATGATTGGAGAAACAATGTAAACAAAAAAAAGAGAGAGAGAAAATGCTAGAGGTAGAAAACCAGAATAAATATATTGATGAGGGATTATTTGAACAGCTACTGAAGAAGGTACAAGAATGACAGAAGAAACACAGTGGAACACACAAAGAAAGCAAACACTCCAGAGACATGGAGCCAGAAGAAATATATTGATGAGGAGGAACTTGCACAACCAAAGTAGAAAATGCAATACATAGAAGAAAGAATTGAAGTTATAGATAAAGCGGTACAAAAACTTAAAAACTAATCACAAGATAGAGAATTTAATACTCAGGTTTCACTCTGGAATTTATCAGTCTTTGGTCCTTTACCAAAGATGTCCGGAGTTGGAGCTATTATGAGTTAAACGGCACAAAACAAGATAGAGAATTTAAATAAAACTGCAATCTAGAATATTAAGACTGAAATAGCAGAAGTGTCCAACATGCTGGAAGGACAAAATAAAGTAGAACAGAATAGATGGATCAGAGAGTCATTTAACTGGAAGACAAGAACCTCAATGGAAATTTATTACAAGAAAAATCAGAGATGAGAATTAAGAAAATGAAGAAAACCTTAGAATCATGTGTAATGGCATCAATAGGAACAACGTAAGTGTTATTAGATTCCAGAATACAAGAGGGACAGGGAAATCATTGAGAAAATTGTGGAAGGGGTACTAGAAGGAAACTTCTTAGATATTAGGAAGAGCGAGGAAACCCACACTCAAAAAGCTCAGCAAACACCAAATAGACTAGACCCAAAGAGAAAAACCTCAAGAGATATCATAGTCAAATTCTCTAAAATAAAAAATAAGGATATAGATAGCACAAGAAAAACAGAGAGTCAACTACACAGGAAAAGTAATTAGATTAAATGGTGATTTTTTTTTTAGCAGAACTGTGAGAGCAAGAAGACAATGGGATGGCATATACAAAAGTTCAAAGAAAACAATTGCCAACTGAGAATCCTGTACCCAGGAAAGCTGTCCATCAAATATGAAGTTGAAATTAGATCCTTTGCAGAAAAGAAGGAACTTAAGGAATTTGTGAAAAGATCAAAACTATAAGAGATTTTAAGTGAAGTCCTTCATACAGTGATGGAAAAGGAAAGTGCATGGGCTATAGTAACCAGAAATAACAAAAGAAATATGACAAAATGGCAATGGTAAAACCTGGCCTGAAAATAACCCCACTTAATGTAAATGGACTAAATGCACCAATTAAGAGGAAAAGAGTAGCAGAATGGATTAAATAAACAAATCCCATCAATATGTTGCCTACAAGAGACACATCTCAAACAAGAAGAGAAAGACAAATTCAAAATCAAAGTCTAGGAAAAAATATACCAAGCAAATGGCA